CAAAGAGCTTCAAAGCATCAAAGTACCTCCATTTTTGTCTCTACATGTCTAATTTTGAAAAATGTATCCCTGGTGAGTGTCCAAATATTCTATCTTAAATAGTCCTCACTGTAAGCTGCATTGTATAATCTATATGAGACTGCAGTGTTAGCTGTACAATATCACAGTATTATTGTACTTTTGCAGTATTAACAATTTAAAATATAAAAATATTAATATCTATATCTGTTTAAATCTTAACAAAATATGTCTCCTGTCTGCTACTCATTATATAGCAAATGAGAAAGTGGTGAGATTAAAAAAGAAACCTTATTTTTAGGCTAATTTAAGACCCTAAATTAAGACATTCGTGTTAAGTGAGTTAGACGTACCATGATTTTTTTTTCTTTTAAAAGACAAAAAAAACCTGCAATACGGCATTTAAAGTCATGTCTATTTTACTATTTATTTAAGTGGCTAGCATAGTATAGTATATGATTAAAAAAAAAAAAAAAAGGGGTATATATTTTAATATATTTTATAGAGGGTTCTTCCCTTACTTGAGCAAATATTAATTATTGCACAACTATACATATCTTAATATCACAACAATGGCTGCTGAAACAGGTCAAAGTTGGAGTACTTTACCAAGATTCTGGGTTCAGATAAGGAGGAAATGAGCCTAATTACTGCAAGTAAGTAGCCTACTTACATTAGCCTTGTAATATATTAAAAATGCTTTGTATTGTAGGTGCCATGGACCAAAGCCAACAACATATCTAGACAATACAGAGAGAACATAGCCCATCTTTGAGGTGTGTATAGGAAGGGAATAAACGACAAACTCCCAGCATCACTTTCAATCTTAATATACTGCATACCGCAAGTATGTCTTATTTGTGTACGACCGTCAACACTTCAAAGGGTCGACAGATTCATCGTGAATTTTGAGAACTTTTCAAGTAATAAGATACTGGGCGGAAATTTCCCAGTAGGTTAGTTATTGCTTGTTTTTTGGAATATATCAACACATTGCTTTATTTTGAGACATGTAGCTTCTGTAGCTTAGAGTCAACAAGACATCAATATAAGGGCAGACAAGCAATTTCCTTAGCCGTCACTGTGGGAGAATGAACAACAAATTCAAACTTCTCTTTCTGACACACTGTAAAGGAATCTTCCTAGCATGAAACTCAAACCCCTGTAGATGGCTGAAGGTGCCAAGTACAGTAGGTGGTGGAAAACTTCAGCTAACCATGAACAGAGTGGAGATGTTCAGTCTTTGATCAAGTCTGAACAACAAAACTTGCTTTCCCTTCCAAACACACACATATAGATATATGTATATAAAGAGAGTTTAATCTCTCATAGCACAGAAGCAACTTCACTGACAGAGTTAAAGTGCTGACTTGCAGGCCTACTCCACCAGTCCCGCCCTGCTGTCGACCAAGCATGCCCTGATAAAGCAACAAATGTAATAGAAAGAGAAAATGAAGAGAAAATGTACGGGGGTGGGGGGTAGGGGGGTAGAGGCAGCCAGAGAGCTAAATTAGTAGGTGATTAACGAGCAGGCTTTAGACAGGTCCCACATCATTGATTGTGATGTTGTGCAATGCTGCAGTAGTGAAAACAAGCTGGCCCTTGGAGGAAGGGGTATGAGGTCAGAACGTCAACACCCACACAAGCAAACAAAACTGTTCTCGCAGAAAAAAACATCAAACAGTCATTAGTGAGAAAAACGATGTAAAGCACCGTTTTAGCAACCAGAAACTCTATATTGAACTTCAAGAAATTCTTTTTGAAAGAACACCAGAGATGTTACAGGCAGCTGCTGTGTTTATTATCAGTAAAGGTTACCTCTCAACTATTTTCCCTTTTTTGTTTTATACATTATAACCACAAATCTGAAGGTGTTTGAGATTCTAAGGGAATAGATCCACAGAAATCAATGGATTATTGTGGAACAGGAAAGATGATTCTTATTGGCTTTAAACATTTTTCAAAGATCTGAAATGTTTGCCATGCATTTGCATTCAGCCCCTATGAGTCAATACTTAAAATATACCTGGACTCTATCCCTAACCAGCTTTCAACATCTTAAAGACCCTGATAAGGCCCACAACTCTAAACATTTTGGTCTGGTGATGAACTTTGATGCTCACCATTAAACATTTTGCAAAATCCTCTCAACTGATTTATGTTTTTCTATATTCACCTAAGAGTAGCCTGACTTTTAATCTGAAAAAATTAGGACCTTGGCACATCAAGATGTCAGCTTTAACTAAAATTAACTCAGTCTCATTCAGTTGAGATGGAGATCATCTGTGAAAATATGTTTTCAGGCTTTGCCAAAGATTCTCAATTACATTTTGATTTGACCCTCTTAATACTACATAGTTTTGATGAAGATTCGCTAATTAAGGGCTGAACAGTCATCTCACCCTACCCACTATGTGGTTTGGGATAGCCCCTAATGTGGCGGACCCTCTGCAGGAATGCGTAAATAGAGGGTTATTGCTCAGGGGAAGTGTTTAGGGGCCAGTTTGGGATTGGGCAAATGTTACAGGTCTATGAAACTGCTCTCTGTTTATTCACTGGATATCGATTGGGCAATGGTAGTACCCTGTGCTGTGAAGACATCAGCCGCCATATTGGTACTCCCTAGTTAGACCAGTCGGAATGTAAACAATACGTGTGCTATAGCATCAAACAGCAATGATGTTCTGTTTTTCAGGGGAGCTTAAGACTTTTAAAATGAAGATAAATTCATCCCTTTGACACACGCTATCTCATAGTAACTGTAGATTACTGTCATTTACGGTAAAAAAAAATATATATATAGGCACATCACATTGCATATTCATTATGAAGTCTATAAATCATGTAATATAAAATATTATACAAATCAAAATTAATAACAACATATTAATGTTAATTGAGCATAATAATACCGTACTTAGATATTAAAAATATTATACATGCACACACACACTATCTGATGATTTGCCAAAAATGCTAAATTGATGATGTACATGTAATACACATGTATTAATTACACTGTTATGGTAATTACATTACATTACAGGCATTTCTATGCCGCGACTCTGTAAGAGTGGGGAGTACCAAGATTGCGGTAGGTGACTTCAGTTTTTTTTCGGTCTATCTGCAATAAGCCAATAAATAGAGATCAGTGGTGTATGAGGGTTCAGACATCTTGCTTGTGTGTGGGTTACCAAATACCCATTTCCCACCATTAATTAACATAAAAATTATTAAGAAATCCAAGAACCTAATTTTCGGGGGGGGGGGGGGGGGGGGGGGGGGTACTTTTTACTTTGTCTCTCTTGGTTAAAGTAAAAGAAAATGTCAGACCTCTTTCATTGTTCTATATAGAACTTACACAGTCAGTGGCTGACTAAATATTTTTTTGCCCAAATCTATGTTTAAGGCTGGCAAACCTAAAATCCCTCTGACCACTAACTGGACAGTATCTCTATCCCTGCAAAAGAAACAAAAACTGAGACCATGATGCTGCCACAACCATATTTACCCGTAGGGAAGGCGTGGAAATATCAATTTTCTCCCGCAAATGTTTTCCATGAAAGAACAAAATATATATTAATAACCTCATCTGGCCTGAGCTCATTCCGCCATGTTTTGCAATCACCTCAATGAGACATGTAAAAAAATAGAAAAGTAGGCTTCCAAAGACTCTCAGCAACTGCTTTCTTATTCAATGATGCTTGTAGTGGCAATCTCTCTTCATTTTCAAAAAATACCACTTAGAGCTGCAGACACAGTCATTTCTTCACGCGCACAACATGACAAGTTCCTAAAGTTTTGATGTCTTTACTTAGAAACAAAACGGTTACAAAATTTACAAAGCGCATGGTAAGAAAACTTCATGCTCCCATGCCTTGCGTAGCTCTGACCAAACAGGCCCTGCACGTTCTCAGTTACAGTACATTACTTAAAGGGGCAGTCATCAAATATTTTTAATGCCAATAACCGTTTTCTTAGAACTATGAAATACACAATGACATGAACTAAGAATGAAAGATAATATAAACTGCATCTATGAACTGTACATATTTCTTGCATATTCTATCTTTTCTGCTTTATGGCTCTTACAATGCTGTTCTTTAATCATAATGTTTTTTTTTCATTCATAGAGGATTGCTAAGAAGAATAAATTGCATACATTAGGACAGTTGCCTTCACTGGGTTTTATTTCAGGTTATCGATGTAAAAGGGGCTGAATTAAAGTGTACATCAGACTCTTCTTTTGAAAAAACTAGTCGCTTCTAATGAATAAATTTGTTTTTGCATTTCCAGGCTATCATGGAAATCTGTATAAAGTGTCTTATGTTTTGTCATTGCAAATGCAAAAAAGTATGATTGAGATACAAATACTTTTGCAAAGAATAGTAGAATTTAAGAACCTTTTAGAGAGCAGGTAACTCCAACATCACAAAACCGTTTTTAAAATGGATCTAAACCAGACTTTAATGCAGTCTGTACTAAACGTGTGTTTGTAACACCTACGGCCTTTACAGTCCCTCTCCTTTCATATCCGACTGACTCATCACTATCTTCCACTCTGCATGAGCAAAGCCAGATTTCAAACTCCACTGTCGCACAGAGGAAGGATGAAGGAGAGGTGCAGTCGGTGGAGAAACGCTGATGAAGGCAATAAGACATGAGAGCCTTCTGTCATTCCTTCTCACTCTGCAGCTGGTCAGGTGCCAACAACAGAGTACTCTACACTAGGGTTGGGGAGGTGCATAGAGCTGGCCCGTCACGCATCTTACTCTGTCCTTGCCACTTTTCTAACTCTGCCAAGCTAATGATAATGGCAATAAGGGGGATTAGAAAAATAGGGGAGCACTTAAGAACTTGGTACAGAGTTAGCCAAGAAAAGGAACAGGCTTTCACAAAGTGACCCTAGGTTAAAAGGACCACAGTAAAGTCTTAATAATTTTAGAGAAGACATTTTAGCAGCCATAATGCAATAAGCAGGGAGGATGGTTTCTCCTTCACACACCTACCTTTTCATTGTTGTAGTAGGCCAGACTCTCGCCATCAAATCTCACCCATCTTCTTTGAAAAACACAATTTCTGCAAGAACAGATGCAAAGGTTAAAGAAATGAAAAAAATCAACACCTGATTTTAGAGCTTCATGAAAAGTGAAAAGAAACTCCACTGGCATGAAGACAGTGAGCTGCTAATCTACTCTGCGCAGGTACTCATATTTTATCATGAGTGCCACTGATCCATTAGTGTCAAGAGTCGTATCAACAGCTGTCAATTATCCTAATCAAAATAAATGGCCACATTGAGTCTGAATATTCAACAGCCCAAGGGCAGTTTGCCAAACCCATGCAAATCAGGTGCTGAAGGAGACTATATGAAGAAAATTAATGATTGATGGTTTGACTTCAAGGTAACATTGATGTATGCAGTGCCAAAAGACTGAAAAAGGAAATCTAGTTTTGCCAAAAAAGCCAAAGTGAGTAAAAGAAAAAGCACTTTACCCGCCATCTGAAAACCACAAGGCTTACTCCCACCTTCCTTCCTTCCTTTCTCTAATAATAGATTCATATAAATTTGATAGAGGAGCTTCACATATCTGTCCATGGCACCATTTGTCAGTTCAACATATTTAAAGGCTTGAGACACATGGGGTATAAGAGACCCAGAGGAGGATGAAAACTCAATCTTTCATCTAAGACTTATGGAAGGATCAGGAGAGGAAAAAAAAACTGACAAGCTGCCGTGCTTTAGCTACCAAAGCAGAAATCACAGACGTGAGCACTTTACTACGTCTTCTCTCCAGAAAAAGTTATTTTTACTTCGCAGCATTTCTCTGGCATCATTTTTGTAGAGGATTTCTCAAAATTACATTGTGTCTGCACATTTCCAACAGCGTTCGAATTACTTTCAGCAGATTTCTATAACAGATGCACAATATATGGAAACACAGTTATTGCAGTATAGATTATTACAATATCAAAATGACAAAGGATTGCTTAGATGCAGTATTTGGCCGAATATCTTATTTAATGCAGTTATAATACAGATGAAAATTACCCTCCATAGCCAACTCAGCCATATTTATATTGGTCTTAGTATGTAAACAATTTAAAACTTATGTATATTTGATATTTATATAGATGCAAAGGCTAAATAAAAAAAAAGGTAATTTGCAAACATCAGACAAAACAGGCAGGAAAACCTGAATTAATCATAACTGACATCAGTTACAATACTCAGCACCAGCAGTGCAATTAAAAGTTTTCCTGATTTTGTGCACCTCTAATTTCCAATAACATTACCAGCAATAGTGTTTCCACCTGACTAAACCCTATGAATACTTTCTCCACCTCTGGCAAATTGAGATTAAGTGACTGCAAGAAACATATTTGGCCTCATGCAAGCTGCTTTCCACTAACAGGTGTGGCTTATTTTTGCATAGGTCATAAACTGCAAGGGTGCAGAAATCCTAGAGACCGCATTAATATCTGCTGAAAGCAAGAGGGATTTTAGAATGCTAACAACACTGTTGCATTCGTTCCAATTAAAATACAAGAAATAAGCAGGCGTGAGTAAAAAGAGCTAGCAGGCACTTATAGCACATCCTGACAATGATTCAAGGCTTTAATTTGTCACACGAAATGGGTCAAACACATGAAAAATGAACACGAATAATTCATTCAAAATGGGTAAGCAATGATTCAGGACAAAAAAGCCATTTGTGAACACAAACCGATCCAAACTGGGTTCTAGTGAGTTCCTATTTAATGTGTTTTAAATCATTTGCTGCTGTGTGTTTTTGTGCACAACGTCATCAGAAACTGCTAGGATAAAATCAACAGACTTCATCTGTTAAAGCTATAACTGAGGGTGCAGAGGTGGCGAAACGGGCTGAGCAATCAACCAATGAATAAAGGCCTTTATCCTTGAACCTGTGACACAGCTGTTACAGGTTTACTTGTTCCCCCTTGGTCTAAATCCCATTTTAGATCCGGATGCTTTAAAAAAAACTGAAAATAAGTGCCTATGAATGATCCAGTAGTTTTATGAGTGGTTTTATTTTGGCCAATCCATCAATTTTTGCAAAGCTTGTTAAAAAAAACCATGTATATTTGCTTACTTTTATACATATTCTGTCTAAAAATGTGACTATGCTCTTAGTATACTTAGTGAGACTATTTGTAAAGGTTGTAAACTGCTTGAAATGTTACATGGCTAAATAATCATTTATTGTGTTTGTAAACTTTGATAGATTTCATTTTATTGTAGCTTCCAGAAAACAAAGGTTGCAGTTAATGCATATTTGGTAGAATAATAGAAAACAAATAGAGCTTGAATGCATGAAAGCCGTAAAGAGCTCATACTGTCAATAAGGGAACATGTTTTTTTTTTTTTCAAAAACGCTGAATTTATTTTTGAAGACAGTGACACAAAAAACGACTGGCTTACTTTCCTGCAACTTCCGCCCACTGCAACAACTTTCACACCAAACATCAGCTGAGGCTATAAGTAAAAACTAGCGAAGATTAAAATGTGTGAACTTAGCAGGTTAACTTACCCTTGAGGTGACAGCTTGTCCAGCCAGCCAACTTTGAGCACTTGTTGTTTGGGAGCTCCGTAGAAGCAAGCGTAGGGCGAGATATCAGGCTGTGGGCTTTCAGTCTCTCGAGACTTTACAGAGTCTGAGTAGAGGTCGCATTCCACCATTACTAAAGACTCGTCTTCAGGACCATTAGTCCCCGAAATGACTGGGGCAGTTTCAGGGGTCAAGGCAAAAGCTGGGTGCAGACCGGCCCCCGGTAGCGTGCTTGCATGCAGGTTTACTGTCGAATATCCATCGTCGCCTTGGACAGCTGGAGCTGGAGGACTCCCTTTCTCCTTTTGCTTTTTTCTGCAGGAGTAATATATGCAATATTGATTTTATGTTGTATAAAACTGAAGTTACCTTGTTTACTGCATAATTGTTTGAGAAATTATCTGATGATGAAATAAATCGGAACAACCAGTGATTTTTTTTTGGCTATGTTGGTTTCATGGACTCAACAAAGCTCAGATGTAAACTTTTAGTGTCTCTTGCCTGAAGCTGAAGATATTTAATCAGTTTCAGGCTTAACAAAACTCATCAAGGTCTCTGGCTCCACAATTAGATCAAAAACACATTGAGCATCAAGACAAGTTGTCTGGTTTTCTGTGGTGTCAAAATTATGGGAAGTTATGTAAGCCTTCATTTCAAAAAAGTTAAAAAACAATCCACTGGACTTTGTTTCCTAGTTTGAAACTGGGAAAGAAAGTCCAGTGGATTGTTTTTTTTGTTACTTTTTTGGAATGACTATGACCTGGATGACTGAGAATCTTTATTATCATATGTAAGCATTCATACTAATTAAAGACTTGCTCATATCAACCTCAAATTGCTCCTCTTATTTTTACAGGATAAAGTTTTAATCAGTTTAGTGTATGTTCCATTAGAAAGATTTGTACAACTGCAACTGCTTTTTCACCTTAAAATGACAAACTTCAGTGTATTTCACTAAAAAAGTAACACACAATGTTTAAGTGAAAGGAAACATTTTAACTCCAAGACAAAACAAGTAGTAAAATGCCAACATTGTTTTAAACACCTTTGCTTTTGTTACACATTACATGAATCTGCAGGTTACTAAGCTGTTAAAAACAATAATTTGGGAAATCCACTGCCATACTTAGAAAAGCTGTAACTGTATCCACGTGGATAAACCTTGAAGTCTATTTTCCTTTCAATTTTACAGCTAACTTCATGTGATAACTTATCTACAAACTGTGTGTGTAGTGAGTCCCTGCTGATCTATAAAAAACTGTTACAACCCTTGTTGGGGGGGGGCTCATTCCTCACCCCTTTTTCCCTGAACGGTAACAACAAGCCCAGCGCTGCAATATGAACAACCTTCTCTGTCTGGTTAAGATTAAGTTGCTGTTAAACCTCAGGCCTGGTTTTATAGTGTTACTATATTGAGAAGTTATTTAACACTAGAACTCCCAAGAGAGTCAATTTGACGGTTCGAAGATTTTGAAGTGAAATATCGGTCATGTTAACTGACTTTTTCTTTTTCTATATTTCCTTCATGTTCACATTGTTTTTTTAAATAACATAAACTAAAATATAAATACAGTTAATTTTACCGTGATCTCCCACAGCTCTATTAGATGCATTATAAATTCTTCCCACAGCTAATCAAGGTTTGGTACCGTTGCCTAGCAACCAACATTCTACCTAAAAATCTGAAGAACCCTTTGGCTAATAAGGAAAATGGCTTTCGGAAGAAATCTAACAGTGAAACAGGCTTTAGAAATGCTTCGAATTATTGATGGTAGCAATTCGGGAGGAGATGCAGAGACCGATGATGACGACAGGTCGGTGGGAAGCGGCCTAGATGCTGACAGCGAGTCTGAGCTGCTCCACTTAGCAGCCCAAAAGCCAAACCAGAGCCTGTTGTCTACTATAATCACACAAAGGTTGGCATGGATATGTTAGATCAGATGATGTGAAAGTATTCTGTAAAAGCTCCACACGAAGATTGCTTGTGACTGTCTTTTACAATTTCATGGACATAGCAGCTATAAACACATTGGTTTTGTTTAGGAGCCGTTTGAACGTCACCTTCTCACGCAGAGAGTTTATCCTTGAACCGGTAAAACAGCTGCATGCCAACCACGTGTGCTCTAGAGAGACGCAAGTTACCAAACCCTCCGCCGCAGAGGAGCCAAAGAAAACCGTGCCAGGTGCCTCAGCGCTGCACAATGTTTGTCATAAATGTGAATAGGTGGTGTGCTAGAAATATTCGGGGGGGAAACAATCAATTTCTGTAAATAAAAATGCTATTTCAAATTTTAAACCTGCATAGTAAAACAGTCTTATCTATTTTACTGATTTATTTTCAATACAAATTTAGACTACAACTAATAACAGTATATAGTACAGCCTGTAAGAAATCCATATTGGACCCGTTTTAAGGTTTACATATCCCTAATGGGTTTATATCGCACACTAGAACCATTTCAGTAGGTGACATCGTCACTACTCTTGCAGTCCATTGGGAAAAATGTACCCATCAAATTGACTGCCAGTGGGAGTACTAGTAGGATCAGAATTCTGGGAGTCTTAGTGTTAAAGTAAGGTTAAACCTGTGATTGGCTCCATGCAAAGAGATGAGAATGAAAGCTCTGGAGTGTGAGCATTTACACTCTGATATGGGCAAATTAAATCAAGAGCAACCAGCTGCCTGAATCAGTTTTCTTACTCAGTGCTTCCTAACCCTAGTCCTAAAGTATCTCTGCCCTGCATGCTTTAGACGTCTCTTTGTTCTAGGACACCTGATCTGAATGATTGCATGACGACCTTAGAGGCCATTAAGAGCACATGTGGACACTTCACTGTCTGAGCGAATGGGAGCCAGGTTTAGTCCGTACTGCTTTCTCCAATGCAAACCACACTAAAAATAAAACCCCATCTATTTTTCCTTTCACATTATAATCAAAAATTATTAATTAAAGATAAAGTGGAAGATTTTCTTGAATTTTTGAAAAGACCCACCATTTCCACCTAAAAACAACCATGTACCCGCTCCTAAGAAAGAACGCCTTCAAAAAGCGTGAGCGTGCAAGAGCCCATTTCTCCTCGTGCATGCTGTTTAAAAGTTGCTGTCTGCATCGCTCATACAAGCTTACTTTCCAAAAGAAGATTTGTATTTTTTCCACTATGTTGTTCCCATCTTCACCGGTAAGTGAAAATGGGGACAAACATGTAGGACGGGCTTATGAAAACATATCACCAGTATGATTGACAATTAGGAGGACCACTTATTTTAATGATCCACCAAGAAAAAGAACATCCTCCACTATACCTTTAATTACTTCTATAAGATTTGAATCAAATGCACTGAGGTTTGTGGTTGTCACATGTAAAGAATATGGAAGAGATCAAGGGGTATGAATACTAAAAGGAACTGTAACAGCCTAAAAATTGTAGATGCAGGAGAGAATGCTTTTTCTGTTAAGAACTGCAGCTTATTTGGAAGCAGCATCTCATCAACATACACACCTCTTTTTCTTCTGTTTCATCTTGGCCTTAAACCCCTTCTGCAACCCGTCTTTGGCCCCTTTTTCCTAGGGAGAGCATCAGAGATTAGCATCGGACGAAAGAGAGTGTCGATCTTTCAGCAGGACATCCTTATCAAGTCTGTGCCCTAAACTATGTTAACTTTAGTAGCAGGGTGACATTTCAATTAACCTCAGGGGGCAGACTGAGATAGGCACATTTTCCAGTCTGCTACGTGTTTGTGGTGACATCATTAACACTGAGAAGGGAAGTTAGCTGCCAGTGTGGCTGAAACAGCAAAGATGGTACAGAAGATCTGAGAAACGCCGGTTCCTCTTTGGTAAGCTGCTCATCATTTGTCCAAGAGTGGGAGTGAGCGCCGTCTTACCGGAGATGAGCCAGGGTTGTTGTACAGGAATACTTCTCCGTAGGGAACGATGGGCGTCAAGGTTCTTTGAAGTGGAGCTAAAAAAGAACCAGAAACACAACACAAATGCAGTTTTGTCAGAGAGTTGAAACTTGGAAAAAAAAAAAAAACTAACATGATGTGAAGGCCTTAAAACGTTGGGCTTGAAAGGGAGCAGCTTAACCGGATTGTTCCAGTTGAATTTCAAATCACTTAGAAGTTATAGGGCTCCTTCATTTAACCAACTAATTTATCTGAGTAAACGTCTCAGCCCTTGATCCGTTCAGGCACAAACCAATTAATTTTTTCCCCCCCTTTATGCCGTAGCATGCCTATCTCTCTGCCTCTGCCCTTTTCTGCTCACTAATGGGAGCTTGATCCTCCTCGGACCGTCTCAAACGAACAGTCTCACTGCCAAGACTGCTTTCTCTGTCTTTTGTTCCTACAGCAACTGTGGTCAGAGGAAAGCAAGGATGAATGAGTAGAAGAGAGAGAGCGACTCACACCAGACACTATTAGTCTGGAGACCTGGAGCTACAACGCGTAGGCCGCTTCCTGTCACTGTGAAAAATGACACTAAACCCTCCTGAGGATTGTGAGGGCCAGAAGTTGTCGCCACGGGGCCAGACATACACGCAAAGACACATCGGCGGATGGACAGATAGACTTTTAGACTGTACAAAGATGGAACCCCCATCAAACACTTTAAGATCGAGACAAACAAAGACATTCGAGGGCAGTAAGCCAAATGGAAACATTTTTTTAAACACCTAACAGAAACTGTTTTTCCTTTTTCTTTACAATTAAGCGGGCCTTTATAGAAGAGCACAAGAGGCATGCATTCAGTTTTATAAGTTGTATCAAGGGGTCAGAATGATTGATGATGGACTGCACTCCAATACTGCAGCTTCTCTACGGACAAGCTTGGTGGGCAGATAGCAACCATCAATCACCTTCTATCAGCCGACCTTCAAGCTCATGGGTCTCTCCTAGAGACCCAACAGACATCACTGCACTCTATTGCTCTCTGCTCCCCTCTACTGTTTTTTTCTCTCTTGTGTCTGCCATGTGCCTTTGTTTTTCTCAGAGGCAACTTTATCTGCTTCTGACCAGACTTTGTTGAGCAGCAGTCTGAGCAACCTCTACGCCATCCCCATGCTCAGAGTTAGAAAGAAGAGGAGTTAAGTCAGGGAGACTAAGGTCACTTTGTAATTAACACTTCTTTTAGATGCATGCATGCCGGGAGAGGAGGTTAAAGAACTAGATAAACTATTCTTTTTAATCAAGCCATGGTTTGCTAAAAAAAAAAACATCAGAAGTGTGAGAAAAGGTATTGAGTAAGGACATGTTACTGTTCAACATTTATTATGAATAACTGCACCCTAAACTGCTGTCACATTGATTGACATCTTGCTATCCTGAAATACTGAAAAGAACGGTTATCTGGTTTGTGGTAAAATGTGGATTAATTAAATGACAATTAAAGGTACAGTGCAGGATGTCCTTTTTACAGGTGGATCATGCTCGTCCCCATTTTCACTTTCCGGTGGTGAGTCTGACATATTGGAAAAAATAGCAAATCTTCTTTTGGAAAGTAAGCTTGTGTAAGCGATGCAAACAACAACTTTTAAACAGAGCGTGCATGAGGACAAAGGGCTCATGCACGCTCTTGCACGCGTTTAATAGGTGTTTCCTCTCGGGAGCGGGTACAGGGTTGTGTATGTGCATCGTTTTTTTAAGTGGAGAGGGCGGGTCTTTTGAAAAATTTGTGAAAATCCTCCAACTATACTCTTAACCCGTTCTGAATAGTAAAGGTACATTGGGATCAAGAGTTTAGAATTTTCCTGTTCAACTATATAAAGCAATTTTTTTTGCCCTTTTCGGGCCGACTTTCCAGTTGGTGAAAATGTTTTGATTGGGGCGACTTTCAGCCTGATCGTGCATCGTGTATTGTACAGGAAGTAACGAGGGGCGATCAGCCTTTCAAGACCACCTCCCGATCAGGAATTGTGAGGTCGGCAGAAAATTAAATATGTTTGATTTTCAGCCGACCGTCATGGGCAAATCACTCAGTGGGCATGCACAAACAAGGATTCTTCTTCTTTTTCTTCTCAGATGAAAACACAAAAGCATGGCAGGAGTGAAACAGAGCTCTTTCTGTAAAACTGACAGGCTGTAGTAGCCATGTTTGCTAAGCCATGTCTTTGTCTAAATATGTCGCCTTTTCTTTTTAGGGGTTTCAGCACAAAATTGCACAAATTGCCATGGCAGCACACTTCACTCTATTGAGCTTCATACTCCTATTTTTTTGGCTTCAGGATAGATGATTCAGAGCAGCTCCATCTCACTGCGGAGCTGAGTCCGATGTGGTTTTTTAGATGTACTGAACAGGTAGATCGAATCAGAGTGTCAGGCCACACAGTTTGAGAGCATACATTGTGAGCTGTGTACCGCTTGCAGTGTAGCCGCGATTGTAAAAAAATTGCACAGTGTATGCCCGGCTTGGGGTAGGGTAGGGTTATTGAGAAGCCAGTCTTGTTTTCAATCTGTCTCCATATTTAAAGGGTCCATTTGTAATTTTCCATGCCAGAGTAAAATTGATTTTAACCTATAGTAGAATCACTGCTGCTCTGCAATAAAAGAGCCAGTTTCAGAGTTTTTGGCATAGTTTCTTCTGATGTAAAAATATATATAATTTCACAAGAAAAATAAATGCCTATAAAAGCAAACAAAGGCATATGAAGACGTCCAGTTTCTTGATTAAGACATTAAAAATATATACTTTTTTTATATATATATATTTTTAGATGTGCAAGAAAGATGTTTAATCTGTAATGACTAGTAAAGCGTCATCTCATTTTTCGTCGGATTGGATACGTATTTCCACCCTAGGGTGCAAAAATCTTTGCCTATTGACTCTCGTAAAAAGCTATACAAGCGCAGTAGCAATACAAGCAATACAAGGTAAAGGAGGTATAGGAGAGCCCCCTGTCAGCTAACAGGTGTATTTGCTTACCACCTGCAGGTGAACCTTCTTTTCCAGGACCTGGTTTAGCTACAAGGCTTGGCTAACTGCATGCAGCGAGGCTAACACTTATTCTGGTTTCTCTGCCTGCTTTTTCAAACGTCAGGATCTGGATCCAGCATGGATAAAGTCAGCTAGGACTGATTTCAAGCACTTTTTGGAAGAGGCAAACAAGCATGAACAATCTGAGATTCTCATAGAAAATAATACAGTGCACGTTTTATAGATGTTTGTTAATTTGCGTAGTTGCTCTTAAATAAACACATTCTCAGACAATATATAGTTTTTATATATGAAAAAAAATACATATAAAGCTGACTAATCAATTCCCCATTAATAAACTTGTACATAATTTTTTTTTGGTTTGTGACACACTATTCAAACATGTAAAACACAGATTTGCATTCACAAAGCCTCAGAAGGGCAAGATTTCTGTACAAAAAAAGTAAACCTTTACATGGAATTATATTTTGTTTTGATAATCTTTTTTTTTGTTGGAATTCATATTAATATACTGGTGTGATAACTTAGTATAAATGTGGTTTTTGGTATACGTCTATTTTTAATTTATAGTGCCCCCTGCAGAAAACTCTAAACTCACTCAAATGTTCCACCCGAATTTTAAGATTTATTTAAATTCATGACACAGACAAATACCATTTACTTTAATTTTAACACAAACCTAATAAATTACCTTGCATGATCCATATTAATTTGTATAATAAAGGTTATTTATTTGAAATACATGCATTTAGCATCAATAGGGTATCTACTCATAATCAATGAGTGTATTTATTCCAAATACATGAAGTTTATTGCTTGAATTGCATAAAGGTAACCTGATTATTAGGCAATGCAAACAAATAAACTTTATGTATTTGAAACAAAATACACAATTAATTTTGATCAAACTTATATTATCAATTCAAAATACAAACCTGATAATTTTGCATTTAATAATTGCTGTAAATAGGCTATGTTAAAATCATAAATATGAATAATATAAAGTTTATTTAATAGTTTTGTGTTAAACTGATATAAAAAAAAAAGTAATTGTCTTCTTAGGTAATAAAATGACATAATTATGTGAAATATTTCTGTGTAATACTGCCCTTAGTAATCAGACAATCAGTTCAAATCCGTGATGACATCAAACTCCTTATCATTTCTAAGCCTAACACTGGCAACTGACTGCTTAGAAAGGTTCAGCACAAAAATGCACAAAGGCACAAAGTCCAGATACAGCTGAATTTAATGGGAGTTTGATATTTATAATCTTGTTTTTAACAGTCTTTCAGTGTTGCAGGTGAGAATAGATAAATGGTATGAAATGAACTTGACAGTGTGACTTCACAGAAAATCGGAAAAGCGAGTCTCGTTTTCCCTTGCATCTTACATGCTACAATTGATTAAAAAAATGGAAAAGCTCAGAAAAATACTTGACATAGAAGCACAAAAAGAAATAAATGCCATCTCCTTTTTTTGGTTAGTTTTTTTTTTTTTTTTACCTTTTTTTCTAAATCCTGAAAAGCTGGAGGTCTACTGCTGCGCCCTCAATTATATGTTAACTGTGAGGCCACTACCATTTAAAACATTAAAACAAACATACCTTAGATAATTTTTTAACAAAGTTGCCTTTAGGTGTAAATAGACTCAGACATTTTGGATTTTTAATGGGTTTTCAAGAACTTATGCTGGGTTAGGACCACCGCCGCAACTACCATTGAGGATAAGAGGTCATGTCCTTAATTTTCATATATAAACTCAAAAAATAAATTACACCGAAACTGAATGTAGGACGATGATCTAGGTCTCCCACAAAACTGCAAGGTGTTTTATTTGTGAAGAGCCAACTGTACCGCCGCTATCTAATAAAATAAAAAAAAGAAGCCAAGGATCTCGGCTCGAGCATCTCTGCTCGAGGATCATGGTGTCAACACGGACTGTTGCCATGGTAACTGCTACATACCATTAGTGAGTCTGTCAGTCATGGCAGAGGAAGTGGAAGAGGAGCACATCAAGCTACAAATCTAGAGCTATGAAGGTTATTTTGTTTCAAAACTATTTGTGCAATGTAAGTGTGAATTTGAAGGGTTTTTTTTGTAGAATTTAGAAATAAATGCACAAATACAATTTTTTTTAAAACACCTGTTAAAATTTTACGTACAAGTACACAAATTCTGTTCTACAAGTTGCACATCAAAAACCTCTTACATTCTCAGCTTTACTCCAAATGGTCCAGAACTATTGTCCCAAAACTATTTGTGCATTGTAACTTTTGTGTTTTGTAACTGTAGAGGTTTTCTTTTTTTTTTGATCCGTCACAATTACACCTCTTCAAATATTTGAGTACAAGTACACAAATTGTGTTCTGTGAGTTGCACATCAAAAATATCTTCCATTCAGTTTTGCTACAGTTGATCAAAAACAAATAGTGCAAAACAAATTCAAACATGTATTAAAATCTTCAAAAACAATAATTTTTTTCCTTAACACTAATACAAATCAATGAATACAACTGCACAAATCTGCTGCTGCGAGTCAGAATGTAACTTAGAATTAACTCATACTTACAATGCACAAACTTACTACAATACACAAATACTTTTGAAACTAAATAACGTTCATAGAGAACTCCTTAAGTTTTTGACTTGAGAAAAAAAAAACCGTATTGTTTCAGCCCAGCGAGCCACTTAGATGCCAAAGCAACATCGAATCAAAGTTTATTTAACTCTGTCTATACCAGTCGTCAGTCGTTTCGAGCAGTTGACTGAAAATAAAATGTTTATTCAGCTTTAGTCTCTCAGTAGTGGATGTTGAATTGTTTTGTATTTCTACTGGAAGGCAGAGCTCAATGCAGCAAGTTGGTACAGAGCACATCGAGCGGGACAGGAAATATTGTGCAGAAACAAAATAAAACATTTAATTTCAACAATAATAATTCAAGAGTCACTATAATAGTCCAACAAAAAGCCTCAGAATGCCCCATTTTAATTTTCTCTTGTAATGATGAGACTCCTGTATTTATTTTATATAATTGCTTAAATATACATATTTTATCTTGTTTGTTTAATATTTATATTTCACATTATTCATAGCTAATTTTACATGTAATACTTTGAGATTGCGCTGCTCTGAAATTTGCAAAACTAACTTCTGTTGAAATGACAAAACTCCTTGAAACATGATGTTGAAATGGCACATTTTTTTCCCGTTTCTATCATTTCAGTATTTGATTGTGTTGATATTCCTCACTAAAGGAAAAACAGAATAGGGAGGATAAGGCTGAGTCAAACCAAGCTCCTCTTTGAGCCAAGAAGCAGGAGGAGCAATGAGGAGAGAGATACAGAGAGAGCAGGTACTAGAGAAGGAAGATATTGCATGTTTTAAAAGTCAAATGTTTATTGCAAGTATGTACAAGATTCTAATAGAAATATGTTCAAAAGCTTGCTTCCAAAACAAGAGGAACAGAGAAATGAGCTATCTAGCCTTTTCAAAATCACAACGATGTTGCCTTTGCTCCTTAAGAATCTGAAATTTGGTAGATCAAAATAATGGAATTAAAAACATTTTCTGGGGAGCAGCAGAAGTGACTCTTGACCTCTGTATTTTTTGGGCCCTCCGTACAGCCCTGCTTAGGACCACTTATATCTACATATAAACTAAAAGATTAAATACCTGCAAACCTGTAGCAGAATATTTTAACTAGGAGCATCCATCTCTGAGACAACACTGGTCTTCTTTCGTGCATCCTGAGCTTCATCATGGAATAAACTCTTCAAATGTGCTCCACAAGAATCATGTCAAACAAGGCCTTTCTTGCCTTGCTTCGATGTGAGTGGAAACATTTTTACTTGCAAGTCGAGACTCAAGCTCCCCATGTCCCTGCTGTGGGACCTCCTTGGATTCTTTGGCTCCTCCGTCTCTCTCAGCCTGTTTTGCATCCATCTCGTCCTCGTTTTTCCCAACCCACACTACTGTCTCGCCTTTTTGCCTTTTCTCACTGCCTGTTTTGCTCCATGTGGACAACAGTTGGCAAAGCGAGGCTTGCCAGAAGACTACAGTTATAATAAAAAGGTAGCAATAACAAGGAAGAAGAGGGGAAGAAAGGGTCAGAGGGCAAATTAGATGGAAAAAGGTATCAGTTTATTTAGAGATATCTTTAAATTGGGGGCATTTTAAAGACGTTTTGCTATTAAATCCTGCTTTAGAAAAGCATCATCTGCTCCTATGAGTCCAGAGCTTTACTGACTGGGGATTGCTGAATAAGCCGGATAAATTCAGCAAGGAAAAGACTTAAACACATATGTGCACTGGTTGTACGACAAGCCTGTGTTTAGTTGCAAAAGTTAAACAACTTCTTCAAAAAAACTTTGGAGAGCTGTGCGACAGGAATACATACTAAGGTCTCCCTCAGGAGGAAGATATGAGAGAGCATATGCCCGGTGAGATGAACGCTTGGAACCGGGGTGCCGGCTGCTCTTGCGACACGCAGCCTCCAAACACCCCCGCGCTCTCCCCTCATCTCTTTTCCCTGCTTTCATTCTGGCAAACAACAGCACCGCTGACTCCGTTGCTGTATGAAATATTCATAGCAGAGATAAAGGGGATATAGCCGAAAGTCTGTGTATACCTTTCTGTATGCCGTTTGCACCGGTGGGACGCTCTGAGCCGGTTAGGTGTTCAGGGCTGGTTGTTTGTGCGCTCCTGAGGAGGAAGCAGAATCAGTGGATTAGAACCAGCGGTGCAGCACGTGGGAAAAATAGTTAACACCTTGTAAGCATAAAGACCTTCAGAGCTATGGAAAAGTTTCCCAATTCCAAGGTCCAAATAAAGTACAAAGTGAAGGACATTCATTTATGAGTAATGCAGAAATATACTCCTGGGGCTCTGGTAGGAAGACTGAAAGCAAAAAAAGGAACATTTCTTTTTCTACTTTAAAGTTTTTTTTTTAAGTATACAAAACATGCTTATTCCCTCAGAGATTTTTGCCTTTGTTGTCGCACTTAGGCCTAGTCAAAGTTTAAACCTAAATCCGACAAAGAAGATGGAGCATCCATCTTTAAACAGGCAGCCTTTTTGCAATTACTTTCCAATGTGGCTTAATTTAAAGAAGCATGAATAAAAACACTTTCCAGGGGAGGAAATATAATGTAGTGCCATTTGCTAAAGGAAGCAGTAGCAAATCTATCAGTCATTTAGTTTAGTTATCTGCTGTACTTTTTATGACTTTTTTGCCTGCGTCAGTTAATAGTTCTTTCCAAGTATTTGTGATGCCGTGCGCTCCTTGGTTTTGCCAAAGTTCAAACTCATTCACAGAGCAAATACAGTTTATAGTTACCATAAACTGTTAGTAGAGGCCATAAGGAGACTATCGCTGTATGATAACCATAATGTCAGGTATTTTTACATAATCCTACAGATGCAATTTGATGTAATTTCTAACAATTTTGTTAAAAAAAAGGAATGCACCGTTTGTACAGAATATTATAGTAGTAGGTCATTATAGTTGTATCGTTGGCAAAAATTCCATCCCTTTTTGATCGTCTTTCTCTTTAATGTAAACCAGAAACAACAAGGTGATGTTGAATGACATTAGATCTTTTACAGACCTGTAGCTGATAGTGTCACTAAAGCCCCATTTACAGTAGCCTCTGAAATCAATCCGTGCCAAGTTCAGACCGAGCTTTGATTAGTTAACCGTGCCGGTTCCTTGCCTCCTATTGATGATCTACGGTACTACTGCTCTCTAGAATTGAAGGAGGGAATCAATCAAAATGATGGTACCGTATCATTCAGGAAGTAATGTTTGGTTATAATTGTGATATTTTGTTGTTTACCGAGAGTCAGGCAAAGAAGGAAGCCTTTGGTGAATTTTCTTGACAGAGTCCGCTTTTGGGAAGTGAATACGACAAAAGATAGTCTAATTAGGGAACAAGGACAGATGTTGAGGTTCATCACACTGCTAAGCAGACTCCTTGCTAAAAATTATCTGGTATGGTAGGGAAGATAGTATTTTTATGGATGTCTGAGATGATGCGGTCTGCTCATGTGCTCTTTGTTATCTGAGAACCCAGCCTGAACTGAACTGTGCCAAGCCCTACTTTTGAACTAGGACTAGTTTAGCACGGTTCAGTTGTGTTTGGCACAGTCCATTGCAGTTTTGCACGCCATTTACACTCAACAGTTATCTCGGTTACTGTGCTCGGACAGTTTCCAAAGGTTAGTGTAAATGGGGCATAAGATATGAAACCAGCATTACCTGAGCATGAGTATTAATGCTTTTTATTGTTTTGTTTCAAGATTCAAGAGGGCCTAAAGATACAAGTTACCTTAAATGATTCCTCAGGCCAAAACACAGCGCTTAACACTATCAATGCTACAAGCGGGGCTCCCCACTTGAAATACACATCTTCACTGGCCAGGTGATGTGACTTGTAAGAACGTATCGCTTAACGGCTCTTAAATAGTTGTGGAGCTAAGGCTTTTGCTAAACAATTTTTTCACCTGTTCGACTACTTGTCACGGCTGAGGCAAAGTGAAGGTTAAAACCTTCTGAGGAGGCTTAAAAGAGAAAACATGAAATGGAGTTGCACAAGGAAAAACAAGAGTGGATAATGGAATGGAGTTTGTTGATTGGTCCAGGATGAAAGAAGGAGCCTGGTGTAAAACCCATTCTCTTTTTTCAACTCTATTATTAGACTGGTAAAAATTTTGCTCATTGTATACAGTCATATATCTTTGTTTTTTCAATGTTTAATAGAAGCAAATCTATTAGGAGTTACAGATCTAGTGCCTCTAGTGGTCAAACGTTACACGGTGTGCCTTTACAGGCTCCAAAGGCAGCAACATTACACAAACAAACAAAAAAAACTACTGTATGTTTATATGCAAAACAAGGGATTATTGATTGACTTTAGGGCTCCAACTGTTGACTATTTTACAAATCGATTAATCCTTCAATTTTTTTTTTGATTATTAGATTACTAATCAGATAGCCAAAGGTTCATTAAAGATTTTTTACAATATCAAATAATATTTTCCACTTCCGGAGTTCTGGGTAGAGCATATTGACAGAACATTTTTTGGAAACTTACATGCAAAATGTTGATATATTTCACAATTTCGGTATAATTACTGCTCTAAGTGTGTTGCTCTGACATCTAAAGGCATGTTTTAGAGTCTCTACACTCCAGTTAACTAATTAATTAATCTATTACTACATTAGTTTCACTAATTCATCATGATTAATCTGGTTAATTGTTTTATCCCTAGTTGAGTTACACTAGGTTTAGACATAATGTTATGCATTTTGGTTTAATTGCATGCAGGACTGCTTCCTGATGCATTTGTTTGAGCTGGCCTGAGAAGACGTCTTTTTTAACCAATAAAACTCTACTATTGTTATTTCTGGCCATACAAATATGTTCATCTCTACACAAACACTCTCTACATCATCTCACTGCATCGTCAACTGCCCTGAAGCCACAATAACCACAGATATTTCTGTATGCGAGTTTGTAACTGACTTTTAAATGTGCTTAAAATACACACAAACATTTGCACTCAATCAAATTCAGGTTTGAAAAATCACAGGTGTCAAGAATGCAATTTCATATCCTCCACCAATCCATTTGTGGAGTTTGGTCACTCCAATATGATCTGCATACACAGAACAATGGTTTGCACTCGCTGTCCCAATGTGTTGTACATGCAAGTAGATTTGCCCTGTAAAGATCAGCTTGCAGTGTGTCAACATGTTTTAATACAAGTAAACCTTTTGAAGATCAGGTCCCATGTCTGGTGCATGTAATACATCTAATCCCCAAATAACACCAACCCAGCAGTGAAACATGGTGATGAAGGTATCAGGCTGTGGGGATATGATCCAGCAGTGGGGACTGGAAAACCCAAATCGAGGAAAAGGTAAATGGTACTAAATATTCTTGAACAAAACTTGCATCAGTCTGCCTGTGATTTGAGATGTACCCTCCACCCAGGAAGGACAATTCTGGTAGGATAACGACCTCAGCATGCTGCTATAACAAGTGTTTAAGTGGAGACAATCAAATGCATTTGGAAAAGTCCACTTATAATCTGTGATTACACTTGAGGATGGCTGTTCACAAGTAAAAACATCCAACAGAAGAAGCTGTAGCAGGTTTGAACTGGAGATGGAGGAAAAGTCACAGCAGCAAGAACTGACAAGCTAATAAAGACTAATTCAAATAACTTGCAGCTGTAATTGATGCAAAAGCTTGCTCTAAAATATACAGACTATGGAGAATGAAGAGTGATGCATGCTAAAGTTTTCCATTTGTTTAACAACAAATAAGTTAAGACATCTTCAAAGTTGTAAGAAATTTAAAACTTAACATAATGCTATCGGGAATGGATACTTTTGCAGGCCAGTGTAGTGTATATATGGTGTACAAATTGGGATTTTCTTATTTCATCTATTGCACTGAACACTGTAAAACACCTTATTTATTTCAAATATTAGGGTATCAGATATCACTAAAAATAACGGATGATTATTAAAACACTGCAAAACCTAAAAAAAACATGACTCCTTTTCAAAGTAAGGGTTTAAAAACAGAAACGACATTTAAATGTCCTAGCTATGATTAGCTTTGTTTTAAACTTCTAGCCTGAAGTGTGCCCTATTCTATTAGCTGTTTTTTAGTTTGGTATTAGGTGCTTTTTTGTTGTTGTTGTTTACTTGTTTTTCGTGTAGTACTCTTATGAACATTAAGATTTAAAAAGTGAACTGAGGCCTCTTAACTGATTAACAAGCAGCGAGACAGTTGCTTTTAAGTGGTCAGCAGCAGGAACAGTCAGTGTGGTTTCACTCTGCACACAGAGCTGTTTTAAACTGCTTAAATGAATGGCTAAACTACTTTCAACTAGGCCTGGGACCATGGGTCAGTATCAGATTTTCATGAGATGATTAGCCTGGAAAATTACCAAATTTAAAGTTTTTAGGACATTTACACAAAATTATAATACAAGAAAGCACAACATGACAAAAATCCCTTATATTTTAGAACAAAAAGGCATCAGCTTCTCTACCTGCTGCTAAAATAACATTAAATGTACCAATTATAACAGTGTCTTTTAAATACTGCATCTTTGATTTTCCTTAAAGAGATCAAAGCAAAGCAACCACAGATGAGGTGTAGCATGACAGATTTTGCAGAACATTAAATCCTTTTGATTCATCTGACTTTTAACCTGGCTAACACAAGAGTTACAAGACTATGCAGCTAATTTTGGTAGGGCTGCTCCCTCAGGTATCAGTTGGCATTGGAGATATGGACTTTTTTCCCTAATTTATTTTTATTTTATCTTTTTTATTTTTTATTTTTCCCTAAATTATATGGTACTGATTGCAGTGAAGATAGAAAAAACAATTCTTACTTGTTTGGACCCTCAATCTAACTAATGATAATTACTTTAGCCTAAAATACACAATTTCCCTAGTAATGGAAGCTTTGGTACATGAACTATGCTACAAGATGGTATACACTTTTTCATTCAATTGTAATTTACATGGTTAGACTCACATGGAGCCAGTATTGTAAAAGGAGGACATAGAACAGTCCAACCCATGCCATGTTTTGGGGTTCTGTACACATCAAAAAAGGGTTAGTATTAGACAGTATCTTCACGGTATCTAAAATTCTTATAATGAATGAATGAATGAAAAACTGACTAACAGATATCATGTAGTCTACAGCTCGACAGGCCTGTACCTTAAAACTGTAACTTAAACAACATTACCATAGTATATGTAAAGTGTGGAATTTCTTTGAGTACATTGCTGGTTGTGTTTTTCACAACTATAGTACACAACTTGGCCTCAGCAGATGGCCCCTCACACTTAGCCTGGTTCTGCTGGAGGTTTCTTCCTGTTAAAAGGGAGTTTTTCCTCTTCACTGTCGCTACAAGCATGCTTAGTGTGAGGGAGTCAATGAGTCGATGTAATAAACTGGTTTTCCTTAAATATAAAACTTTGCATCAATTTGACTGTGTGATCTGGTGAACTGTAAAGTGCCTTGAGATGATGTGTTGTGAATTGGCGCTATATAAATAAACTGAATCGAACTTTACAGTCACAGGTACCCTTTAAAAATAAGCGACATGTTATATTGATGTTATGTTATATATGAACTTAATTGACATCCCACTCTTAGTCATTTATCAGATCATAAAATGGAGATACATGATCAAACACTCCAGGGAATGTGCCAACACTGCTGTAGAGTCTAATGATAGCATGCTACACCACTTAAATCTAAATACTGGTCATGTATTAGCTATGTATCGCTTGAAAGCAGCTGCTTGGACATGGAGACACATTTCATAAAGCTCACTAAACACTGTTATTAAGCCTATCCAAAGTCTGTTTCTGCATCCCTCTTTCCATCAGTTTACATGACCAACCCCTTAATCAGTGTAACACAGTCGTTCCCAATCGCTTCAGTTTAATTATAACACCAATGGCATTTATGAGGAACTATTCAGGAGGATCAAGGAACTTTTACAATTAAACTTGTTGCAAAGGTAGCATCATGTCACAGTACCATGGTGGAATTCACTGAACTCCTGAGAGTGACCCATTCTTTCACAATTGTTTGTGTGAGAAGTTTGCAGGCCTGGATTTCATAAAGCTATAGCCATGGAAGTGCTTGGTTCCCTGATTTCAATTATGTAAGCAGATATTTTTGAAAATACACTGTACCCTCCAACTAGTAAAAACTCAATAATTAATGCTAATGGCACTGCTTTCTGTCCAGAAACAGACTCATTTGTCAATGAATTTGTATTTTTTTAATAAGTGGAGTGCCTTAAATGGGCTTATAGAGCCCTATAGAGGGTTTCTTATAATGGTAGTAATATTAGGCAGGACTGTGTATATATTATATACTCCAGCCTCATCTTATACTGCTATGCAGATGATAATCAACTTATTAAAGTCACAGCTATAATGAACTTGTAGCCCGTACTGATTAAACGTGTACTCTGATATACTCAAAAATACTTTTTATGATTTTTCTGAGAAGTGTGACTTGTATAAAAATAGTGATATATTTTAAGTAGAGCTCGATTGAATTATCGGACCAATTTTAGCGTCTGGTTCATCAATCGACATTGGTCAAAGTCTTATATGCAGTATTATGGCGAACACATTAGCATTTTAGCCCTGTGTAAGTTTGAGTTCTTTGTGAAATAAGATTATCATATCATGTCCCACCTACTTTTCATACTGACATGCAGGCTTTACTGGGGCTCATAAATTCAAAAGGTAATATTTTCATTGAACCAAATTTTAAAAGGTTCCAACTTATGTATTAAATTCTAATCCTATTTGGATGTTTTAAAAGCTGCAGCATTGCTCCCTAAATCTAGTTTAGTCCCTTTATTGTCAGTTTATCATAAATATGTGAGCTTTACATTTCTGAGGTGTGAATGAATCTGAAACCAGAAACAAAGCCGGCAATAAAAAATATTGGCCTTCAAAATCCCATATCAGTCAGGCTCAAATATCAATTCCATAGAAAGAGGAAAACCCATCTCAACCTGATAAAAAAATGAAAACACCAAAAAACAAAACTTAAGCATTTTATATAAAGTAGTACCTTTCCATTGGTGGCATAGCAGTTTCACTTGGGATCTCAGGAACAGGCCGGTGTCTTAATCTGTAGGAGCGGGTCGGTCGAGGTTCTGCTGGATGTGTCTCATAAATTGAGTTTTCAACCATTTCTCCATCAAAATCGAATTGATCCTCAGGCCGCACTGACAGTAGGTTATCAGTAGCAAAGTTGGAATGACATTGCTCTCCTAAAGGGACCTCCCAATCAGAGGGTATTTCAGAGTTGAGAAGAGATTCACTACTGCTACTTGAAAGCTTGGAGATGGAAACACAGGTACTTGAGTACAGAGATGACTGTGTAAGTGGGAGGTTACGTGGAGCAGGTATAGGTGGAACGATGTTTTGGCGGTCTGGAATGGTATCTTGACCTTCCATATTATACTCCATATTCTCCTTTGGTTGGTTGTGCTGGCAGGACTCTGCCTTTCCTCTATCCTTTAAGAAAACATGTCTTGGGTAGAGCCGTGGCTTCCTTTCATCTCCAACACTCTCCTGAATTTCCTGCTCGCTTTTTACTGTCTTTCCATCCTCGTGCTGTAATCCTAGTGCCTCCAAACTTCGAAGGATGCGTTTCCGGTGGCCGGTTGGGAGAACTTGAATTTCAATAAGTCGCTCATCTGTGAGTCCTCTGCAGTCTTCCACAACCTGATATCCAGACTCTTGGAAAATGGAGATGTACTGTGACAAGCGGAGGGCTAGCAACCACTCCTCAATTTCGTATCTGGGCTCCGGAGACTCCGACATGGTGCTCTAGTCTCACGTCTGAAGTTCTAGTTAGATGCTAAGAACAAGAAGTCCATCCTTACACTGTGGAGACAGACAAAAAAAACTTTCATTAATGGTGAATGCAATTTTTTTTTCCCCAATTACACTTTATAAACATCTTTAATTGAAATAAAGGTGTAGTTCTAAAACTAAATAACAAATGACATTTTGAAATTCAAGGAAAGTTCTCCATATGCAAATTAAAAAGAGGTGCTTGTTCTTTCAATATGAGCATGATTGCAAAAGCCCTTACTGTGGGAAGTTTAATCTAAATAGAGCTAAAAACATCTGAAAAAAAAATCAACGGTGTAATTTCTTGCAATGTTTAATCAGCTGCTGACAGGAACCAAGAGGTTTTCTGCTTGACCATCTTGGCCAGTAAAAGCCCAAAACACTCCTAAAAAAAGGAACCAAAAGGAACCAACTATGCTAGTTACTTCTGCCAAAAAGTAACTGATGTAGTGTTACCCAGATGAAAAACACTTTAAATTTTCTATTTAAAAAAAAAAAGGCTCTCCCAGTAGGCCATTACGTATTCTACTACATTAAAATGTGAAGCTGTCATGTGACTTTGTGCAGCCGGAAACCGGAGTGGATTACGAGGACTGCTGAGAGACAGATGTAAACCTTTGGTTATTATATAATGAACAGAACTGGTAAGCTGCACTATCATTAGATTAAGTTATATTTAGTACAGTGAGTGAGCCTAGCGTCTTCATTTGTTTGCATGGAATGATTAGCTTGTTTCGGCATGTTCATTTCTTTTGGATTTAATGATTATGTAAACCACAGTCACTGTGTATATATTTATTCTTTTATTGATTTGTGCAGTATGATTAATTAACATACATTCAGTGTAGTTTATAGAGCAGCCAAATATGTTACTGCAGCTAAAGTGCACTTTCTGGATGCATTTATACTGGAGTTGTGAAAATATTTCAAATAGCGGTTATTATAGTATTCAATAACATTGAACATATATGTTGAGGATTATTTATACTATAGAATTTGGAATGGATATTGTCATTTATAATATTGTTTATTTGATTATTGTGCACACCAAATATGTACTTTGTCCTGTCCTTTTTATATAGGCCAGGTTTTGATGTAGATTTAGGAACAATAAGTTGACTAGTTGCCCAAAGGGGTACACAGGTCAAAAAAGTTTGGGAAACACTGGTCTAGGCTACTAGACTACCAGCTCAAAGAATTTTCCCCAGACCTCAATCAGATTGACTTCACTTTTGGTTGGCCAGGTAGATGTAGCTTCCATGAGCAGCAAATTAAGTTGCACCTGAATGTGAGTCTACACATCATCATTCACAGGAACATGCTAAGTAGTAGAAAATTACCACTGGAACTTAAAAGTTTATTGGATGAAATAGTTAGTTATTAACCACATCGAAGCACATGGCCTTAACTCATATGTTCAAATAGCTTTATGAGGAAATGGATGCGGAGCACAGAAGACTTCTTTTGTACACAGAAATAAGAGTTCTCCCCAGGGAGATTTTTAACATCCTGAAACACAATAAACCACAAACCTAATAAATAAATATAAGATTTAATGCAATAATCCCACAAACATACAACATTTCCCACATATGCAATAGCAGTGCCAAATATGAATGTAATAAGCTGCACAGTTAGAGGACGTACAGTTATTACAACTGTAATAATTATTATGTTTGCAGAGATTTATTATGTTTGTTTTAAAGTATATAACTTCCCACAAATCTAATAAGTGGCTTTGTGTGTTTGTTGATTGCTGTTGCCTACTAATTGCTGGGCAGCCAAAGCACCGTTTATATCTGCGGAAACTTTCTACTCAAAGTTTTTCGCAGACAGGTTTTCTAATGATTCTCATAGATTAATAAAGTAATTTTATTTTCTTTTTATTACATTTATAGTTGATTACATTTGTGGGCATTGCAAGATTGATGGCCAGAATGTTTGAAATATGAGACCTACAGAGATTTCTCTTAGAAAAAAAGTGGCTATAGGTCACATTGACGAGGAATGTGTCAAAAAAGTTGCTTACTATTAGATATACTGTGAGCAGTGTATTTGCATGCTGCAGCTGTGTTAGATGCATGCTGGTCTGTGTATTTCTGTTTCTCTATATGGACATGCTTTGATCTTGGGGACAAAATAAGGAAATGCAATCTAGGACTTTAAGAAGACACTTGTAACCTAACCAGGTGAGAATTTAGTATATAAGGGTGTGAAAACCAAGTTAGGGGGTCTATTTCCTTCGATTGATGGAGGAGGACCAAGCTTGAGCATAAGAATTGTTTCTTTGTATGATTTCTGTTATACTTAATTAGAATAAATTCTGTTTAACCTTAAAATGCTTTCTTCCTTTTTGCATTTCACGGAGATTGCTCCCCATTTGAATAAAGGACTGGATCAAACACTTCTATGACATATTAAACCCTAACCCTTAATGAACTAATTCTGTAATTATAAATGACAACTGTCTTATACAAAAGTGTATTCGACATGTTTCAAACATTAGCTGGGATTTTGGAAGAGAACCGGAGCCTTGGTTCTCTTGGCTAGTGCTCAATCACCTTTCTTTGCTTTTAAATGAGTTGAAGTGCTAATCCCCAACCGCAAAATACCAAAGAAAAGCAAACCATTAGGCAACAAACCAGGAGAATGTCTATGGAAGATCAACTGCTGGCATTATTTGAAGTATGTTGGAAACAACAAGTCTGCCAGTGTTCTGGATTAAAGTCATGATGGAAAAACTGAGATTTCCACAACAGCACTGAAAACCCTGGTGCCATTTCCAACATCCAATCCGTGTGAAGCAGGTTTTTTTTTTGCTAAACAAAATTAGAAAGCAGACCTGACATAATCAGCACATTTCAGTGTCATTGTCTCCCGTTATCTCTACAGTAGATGGGACCGCGTTGTTTCAGAGTCAGTATAATGTTTGCATGAAGTTAGAAAACACTGCTAATAGAGTTGCACACACTGTGAATTTATCTTTAATATATTTAGAAAATACTTAAAAAAAAAATAAAATAAAAGGTGTTATATAATTGTTTTTTTTTTTTGCATTTTTCTACCATGCCTTAATGATTGATCAGTGAAAATATTTTCTGGTGCAAAATAGATCGGAAAGTGATGCTACATCACTAAAGTCCAGTACAAAATCACTCTTTACTCTGGGTAGTGTAGGCAGAGGCCTACACTTTGGCCTTTTAACTCTGATAGCCAAGCTGAGTAAGACTGGTAGGGCTGATCTCATTTTAAAGGTTAGAGGCTATGTTAAATAGAGTAACCAGAATTTATTTTGGTTGTTTTTTGCCAGTAATGCAGAACTATTCTCTCACGACCACCATGTATGACCAGTCAAACCTTTACATAGAAAACAATAAACGTCTTTGTCGTTGCATTTCCACTAAGGCTTGTTTGGGCAAACAATTCCATTGCAACATCTCTTTTTTTTTAACACAGTAAAAAATAATCTATGTGTCAAGGTTGGCTTCACACTAAGTTGTGACTTGACGTAGACATAACAAGAAACACATTGAAACATCACTGAATCGACCACAAATGAGTGTGTCATAAACCAGGGATCTGCTACCTGTGGCACCAGAGCTGCAAGGGGCTCTTTAGACCCCAACAGCTCTTAATCATCGCTAAAAATGATTAAAAACAAAGTATCGGTTTTGAGTACACTGAAATAATAACTGCCAGTTTTAGTTTTTAAAATGGAATTGATTTCAACAACAGATTGACGTCAAAAAAAAAAAAAAAATTAAGATCTATGTGGTTTAGTTGCACATATTTTTCAGATAAACATCTACAAAATCAATGTTTCCTCTTTAAACAAAAGATGTAGGTTTTACTTTATTCTAAAGCCTAAAAATACAAATGAAATGTTGGTTCTAAGCTGAAAATACTTTTCCTATAGTAAATATTCAACAAAAATTAGTTATCTTTAATCAAAAGGTCTTGTGTGACTCTTATTGACTCTTATTATTCAGCACTTTTACTCTGCATTCAGGCCAAAATGGCTCCATCAGGCAGTAAGCTGCCAGCTTGTTGTTGTTTGTTCTTATTTTTATTTTCTTCTGTATGATGCTTTCATATTTTCATGTTATTTTCAGTATTATGCAACCCTGACAAATAAAGCCAAGTCACAGCACTATACAGTTGGCAAACCAGACCTAAATTTACAACACTTCTGAAGGAGGTAGCAGGAAACGGCAACAGCTCTGATGAAACAGCAGCAAGTATCAAAACTTAAACTTCATCACAATAAAAAAAAGCAAGTTTTTTTCCCTTTTAGTTTCAATCCTAAGCCCTGAAAACATAAAAAACTCCACCTTTACAATGCAGCAGAAGTTTTCTTTCTCTCTCACCATCAAGCTATTACTCACAAAAACTTGAAACCTAAAAGAAGATGCAAAAACATCAGCTTCACTATGTGTCTACTTCTCTTTTAGGTTACAGAGCTGCTGCTTGCTGGGGACCCTGAAGTGCTACTTCTGCTTTCAAGAGCAATTTAGGCTGTATAAGGACGTCTCAAACAGTGAGCTGAAACTGGCTTTCAGTTGTTTTTTTCTTAATAGCAAGTACATACATACATTTATTTTCCTAAATCAGTTATATATCAACATGGATGTAGGTTCAAAGGAGGTAGAGTGCATACAGGAGATAATTAGAGGGACTTAACTCTGCAGAAAGTTAGATCCAGCTTAGTACTGTGACTGTGTTAACAGCGAGGGACACAGATGTGTAAGTATTGCCTTCTCACAGTACTTACACATCCACCTACACACAGCAAGCCATAATAAACCACAAACAATAATAAGATCAGGCATATTTTTGATATGCGGCTACACAGCCTTGCAATCACACCCACAGATCAAGTGCACAGAGAGAGAGAAAAAAGGAGAACTCCTTAAGCGAGGTTTGCACACGACTCGTGGCTATGAAGACATATTTAGCAGAAAGAAAAGGAGCAATTTACACCTACCCAACAGCTTATTAAAGAAATGTGAGGCTACTTCCAGAAAACATGCTA